GAGGGGGGATTTGATAGCAGCCTTCAACTTCCTGAAGGGAGGTTCCAAAGAGGATGCTTCTTGTTCTCAGTAATGACGGATGTCAGAACAGGGAGCAATGGTCTCATGTTACAGTGGGAGAGGTCTAGGTTAGATATTAGGAAAAACTATTTCCGGAGGAGGGTGGGGAAGCACTGGAATTGGTTACCTAGGGAGGTGGTGGAATCTCCATCCCTAGAGGTGTTTAAGTCTTGGCTTGACAAAGCCCTGGCTGGGTTGATTTAGTTGGGATTGGTCCTGCCTTGGGCAGGGGGCTGGACTGGATGACCTCCTGAGATCTCTTCCAGCTCTATGATTCTATAGTTGACTAGTCACTTACATCCCTAATGCAAAAGACTTAATACAAAGTTTCTATGTTCTATATGAAGAAGTACAACGTTTTTATATAAAAAGACCTAATATAAAGCTATATAAAAGGACTTGATACATTGTTAAACTTCAATGAGAAAATGATTAATACAGAGATGTATCTAACAAAATCAGTGAACGCTACATTCAAACACCACAAAACTTCTGGTATATGCTACTCAGTTTTCACTATTGTTTGTGTTGCCTTTCCCTCCCTTCTCTTGTTTATCTCCAAACTTCTTGTCCTGATACATTCTGCCCCCAACTATCTACTATTCATTGAACTTTCCGAAAACTTGCACGTAGAGGGAGGTAAGGGATTGATTCTGTGTACACAAATTTGCAAGGGAACAATAGGGTGAAGGTCTGTTATTTCTCACCTTTATATTGTTTATTTAATAAAAATTATTGTTTATGTTAAGAAGCATGTTATCTTTGGAGACACCAAGCCACAGTCTGAGAACTGCAAAACTGAGCATTTTGGATGGTATCATCTAGACCAGTGGTCCCCAATGTGGTGCCCACGGACGCCATGGCACCTGCCGGGCCATTTATGTGCGCCCGCAGAGTAATCTGGGCTGGCCCCGCCCCCGGGCGTGCGGCAGGGGCCCAGCCCCGGGCACATGGGTGGCCCCTGCCCCGGGGTCACAGTGCATGCTGGTGCCGACCCCAGGGCGCAGTGCCTGGGCAGCCCCTGCCTGGGGTTGCCGCACATGCCGGTGCTGGCCTCAGGCGCACGGCGCATTCTTGGCACTGCCCCCAGGCACGTGGCCTGTCAGCGGCCCCACCCCTGTATGCACAGTGCATGAGCGGCCCCGCCCCCAGGCACTCCAAAACCTTGGGGGATACTGATCTAGACCAGAGGTGGGGAACCTATGGCCCAGGGGCCGCATGTCTGGATCCGGCCCCCACGGCTCCCCACCAACCCTGGGGAGCCTGCGCTAATGCTCCAGCTTACCGGCCAGAGGCTATAGCACACAATCTACTAGCCTGGATCCCCCTGGTTTGCATGGGGAACGTAGGCAGTGCCTTTCTCCTTCTCCGTCAGGGCCTGCATCAGAGAGGGGTTTATTTTTTGTTGTTTTTGCTCCTCACTTGTGTGCAGCCCGACTGATTTTTTGTGGATCAGCGGCACCAGACCCTAATAAGGTTTCCCACCCCCCATCTAGACTGAGAATTGAGTAGACAGAAAAAGTATCCTACATTTATACAGAAACCTCTGCCATCCCATAAGACGGGGTCCCTAATCCATTAACTATTCAAAGTCATTATAAAACTTATCTTAAACATTACAGCTGTGTCTAGACTGGCAAGTTTTTCTGCAAAAGCAGTTGCTTTTGTGGAAAAACTTGCCGGCTGTCTACACTGGCCACTTGAATTTCCACAAGAACACTGACTTCCTACTATCTGAAACCAGTGCTTCTTGTGGAAATACTATGCTGCTCCCGTTCAGGCAAAAGTCCCTTTTGTGCAAAGCTTTTGTGCAAAAGGGCCAGTGTAGACAGCTCAGATTTGTTTTGCGCAAAAAAGCCCCGATTGCGAAAATGGCGATCGGGGCTTTTTTGTGCAAA